GCGCGCACAGCGAACACATCCACCATGTTTGATTGTGACAGGGAAATAATCACACATATACAGATGTGTGATTGTAGGGAGTTTTTTATGGCTGCTGGCCTCGCCTGGAAGATTTTCTGCATATTTTGTTGCCATTGCTGTTTTTCACATTTTAGGTATCATTTCTTTGTATCTATTGTTGCTCATGCAGCATAACATGGATGGAGTTCTCAAACTGTTGCCATTTAAAAAGGAGCCATTCATATGTAGGTCTATATCATGAGACAGTATCTTAGCCTAGTTTAGCCACAAAGTCTGCAGTTTATTTAACAGACGCAGACTTTTTTAATATTCCACATGAAGTGCTATGGTTGCTGTTAATGGCACACATTCTAAAATCATGCCCAAACATTTTTACGAAGACAATTCCACTGAATAACACGATGAAAGGAGCTGCAGTTCTTGCTTGAGCTGAGACGCTTCTGCAATAAAGATGAAAACAACCACGTGACAACAAATACCATGCATCCTCCTCCACCACGACAATATAACATCTGTTGCTTATGTTTTAAAGCCAAACTTTTAAAGTGTTTTTTTAAGTGTTCTCATTGTTTTGTTCTGGTACTGCACACACTCTGCACCTCTGCATGGGAAATTTAATGGCCCTCGTTGGACGAAGGCTTAAGATTCTTTAGGAACTCATCAACAGAGAAAGTCACAAATACATGTGTGTGTGTGTGCGTCAGATGGAGACATTTGGAGACCATGGTTTAATTTAGTTTGAAATTGCCATGCAGTAAGTTGTTCCTCATGTGTCTCAACAGCTTAGGCTCACATGAAGACTTTTTGGCCATCGCCTGTGTGTGAAGTTAAACAGAAAGGGAAGAGGGAGATCCCCACATCACAGAATAGAAAGATGTTGTTATTGCTGGGCTTCATAATGTTCATCTGTTGCCATCTGTGGTCCAACTTTGACCAGCCTTTTAAAATGTTTTGGAGGTAATCCGTTCGAAAATGAAAAGTAATCATTAGGCTTTCATGAAACATTTTGATATTTGTTTTTTATTATTTTGCATAACCCAGTGCAGAAGAGGCCTTATTCAATTTGCATTTTTGTAAAAGAAAAGAAGAAAAACTATGAATCTATGATGTGCAAGTGATAGTAATTATATTGATGTTGAAAGGAAACGTTTATTTTCTTCTTTACTTTGGCATCAATGCAGCCAAATTACAATAAGTTAAAAAAAATATATATATATTAATTATATTTAGAAAAGAAAAAAATGATCACAGAAATTTTAGGGGAAATAATTCAATAACTTTATGTAAATTCATGAATTAATTACATATAGTTATATGCTCCTATTATACTCTTAACCTACTAATCATTTATTTCTATTTTATTTTTAAGTAAATTATTCTCTAAAGATTGCCATTTTTGCTTTGGTAATTAAATGCTCGGTGCAACATTAACTCGCAAGTGAGAGGTCCTTGACTTCTGCAAAAGTACACAGAAGGTGTGCATGCTTTTTGTTGTGTCTCCTGAACTGTGATTGAATAATACAAACAAAAACTATATCAAAACAATATGTAGGATGAGGCAAAATTTGAAAAGTAATGCATAAAACACAAATAATACAATAATATGGTAATAATACAATAAGAAACATGCTTTCAGTACTTATTTATAATATATAAGTAGTAAAATAGTTTAAAAAATTATATTTATTGTTAAAACAAACAAAAAACAGCTGGCTTTCTTTGCTGTTATAGTTATAGTTAGAAGTTACATGTTTTTTATTCAGACTGAACTGAATAATACATTTTAGATTTGTTTTTAAAATGATGATGTTATATTATATATATATATATATATATATATATATATAAATTGATAGAAATAAAAGAAATGCAGAAATAATAATATAAGACATTGTAATTTTATTATTAGAAGTACGGACATTGAACTATACATTGAAATTTCTTCGTAAGAATTAAAGCAAGGACTTTTTAAACATTTTGGACGCCCATAATAAGTAAATAAATACATAAATAGAATAGAGTATACGGGTGAGAGTTCTTGTAGGACAAACATAAAGTTAAAAAAATAAATAAATAAATAAAAACTATATGTATATACTTCACTGAAAGCCAGACACAGTAATAACAAAATTAGTCAAAGCAAAATTAAAACGCTGTGCTCACTTGGTTTTACAGAAAACATTACATCACATTATCTTTTATTACTGTAGTGTATTTACAGTACATAAATAAATAATGTGTATTAACCTGTTCTTTTGCGTTCTCGTGTTAATGTACCTTTAAGAGACGATAAAACGTTGCCGTGGATGAGCAGCCACTGTTGTACTTGTTAGTTTTGTCCAGCAGGGGGTGCTGTTGTCATTGGGATAGTGTGTATTGTGGCTCTCTCTCCAGCGTCGCCTTATAGCTGTGAATTAATATGTGTCCGGACTGAGTCAGGAGACCAGGTGCATAAATCTGACTCGATCGTGGATCACTGTCATCAGATGAGCCGGTCCGTCACGAAAACCGACAGCGCTGCGTGTAAGTGCGCCTTAAAAATGACGGCGACTTATTAAAACGTTCTTAAACGATGCTTTTTGGCTAGCAGCGTACTTTTCACAAGATTTGCTTCCTATTTTAGGAAATGTAGACAAATACAGATAGTAATAATCTCAACTTTGAATTACTGTTCATAAAAATACATCCAGTATATCATTAGAAGTGCTACAGGTATACGCGTGTGGCTAGAAAGTGGGACTATATTTTTTACATATTAGCTTAATTCGATTACAGCTTTAATTTGCTCACTGCGTCATAGCAAATGTAGCCTAAACGCAGGTAAACAGATTTCTACCGTAGTTTTTTGTTTTTTTTTGGGGGGGGGGGGGGGGGGGGGGGGGTGGGGGGGGGGGGGGGGGGGGGGGGGGGGGGGGGGGGGGGGGGGGGGGGGGGGGGGGGGGGGGGGGGGGGGGGGGGGGGGGGGGGGGGGGGGGGGGGGGGGGGGGGGTGGGGGGGGGGGGGGGGGGGGGGGGGGGGGTTTAAGAAGAAGACTATAAAAGCTGTATGTCAGCTTGCTGCCACACGGGCCTGTCAGGCCATTTGTCAGGAACTCAATAAATTTGTCAGTGGAGGAGGAAGAGAAAAAAAAGCAGAATTCAATAAATCATAACATAAACAAATCTAGCCATGAGTTGACAGTGCTGTATTATACTTTGGCTTAATCCTCTGGGAGCTGGGATTATCCTGCACTGGGCTATCATTTTTTGGGGGTGGTGGTGATGGCGGGGCTGCCTCAATAAAATAAGAAAGGCCGTGTGGTTCAATGTGGAGTAAAAAGCGGGAAAATGTGACAGAGTGGGTAGAAAGACAGTTCAAATGACTCCTTTGTTATCCTGCATGGTAACATTTATGTAACTACACCAACGATTTGAAGAATAGTATTTAAAATAATGGCATGTAAAATACAAATAAATAAATAAATAAATATTTAAAAGCGAGGTAAATTTAGTAGTCCTATATCCCGGCTCTCACAGGCCGATGGGGCCCTGGGCTGTCTCACTGTTTGTTGTTACAGTGGTTCACTGACTGTTCACTGTCTGAAATCACATTATAGCTGCATGAATTTTTTTAGCCCATGAAACCAACGAAGAAGTGCAGAAAACATTCAGTATCCCAAATTAATTTACCGCTGATTGATCGGAAATTGACGCTCAAACCTTTATAATAATCCTCCCTGTTGATCCACGAGGCTCAGCCTGTCCGTTGACTTGATGGGGAGAAAAAAAAACAATTTTTTTTAAAGTGATCTCCCTCTGAAACTCTGTCACAGCCACAGTAATGGCCAAAAAGACAAAAGAAGAATATGACACATTTCTTCCCCCAGTTCAGAGTCTCCCTAGGCTCAGAAACTGCCCGCTGCTGCTCAATGTGAAGGTTTTGTAGGTGTTGAAGTGCAGATCGGCAGCAACAACAAAAAAAAATAAAGGAAGTGTGTGTGTGAGCGGTTTTTTTTTTCGTTCGAGTTTAAAAAAAGGGGGCATCGTGGAGAGCTTAGACTCATTAAAAGATCAAAGTGAGTTAACTATCAAAGTCTTCAAGCCCTGCAATTTAGGGAGCCATTATGACTTTGGTTTGCTACCTCTGAGGATGTGAAATGCTCGTCCCAATTTCGCTGAGGTGTTTTATTTATTTTTCTAAAGAAAAAAAAATCTTATCGGCGAGCTTTGTTTTAGGAATAATTAATAATATGAGCGTTTTAGTATAAATGAGCCTATAATGGTAAAGAAAAGTGGGGATTAGATGATGTGCAGCGCAGTATTACCGGCCCACACATGCGGGGTGATATGGATTATAGTTTTACGTTTTAAAGGTGATTTTCTGAGACTTTGCGTCGCTGCATTGATTGTAGCCTCCGGGTTTAAGCAGAGCAGGCCGGGCACTGCTGGAGTTATCCTCTGAGCTGGAAACTGAATGAATTGTGAGTGCCTCCCAAAAACACACCGCAGTGTAAATGTAATTAAAGCAGAACGATTGTCCGTAATTTTTGTGCCCATATTTCAGTTTTATTAAATTTAAAACGGTGTTTTAATTTGATGAAATTATCGTAATTATTTCATTCCCTTTCCTGCAGTAGGCTTTCTCTTCTCTTTTTTTAATCGGCCTACACTGATTAATTATGATACATTAATTTTACTCCTGCGAGTGGGCTGTATTTATTTCCTTTCTTCCTTATGCACTTTCCTTATATATTTTTTTAAATTCTGCCTTAATGAAATTGAAAAGTTTGACTATATAGAAGGCAAAAGTTTGCGCAAAAACCGCAGTTTTATTTTGCTTCAAAGAAGAAAAAAAACTTTCCTTCCGCGATAATTCCAGTGTGGAATCACGTTTTTGCTACTTCCCCAATTGAAATGAAAATTATTATTAAAATTATTATTTCTTTTTTTTAATGTTTTTACTTTCAGAATTATTAAGTGAAGCCTGAAACCAGAATTACAGCGAACTCCTGCAGGAACGTTAGCCTCTCTGAGGGCGCATTATAATGATCTCTTACCTTTCCGATGGACGTAACAGTTCTGCTTAGCTTAAAGTAAATTGCCTAACTTTAGGGACCATTGCTTTCTGTTCTGCACACCTGCTGCAACGTTTTTTTCCGCCCTGGAAGGCGAGGGAGGGCTTGTCATGTAGTGCCTCATTAAAACACCGCAGGCTGAAAGTCGGCGGATTGATTTATTGAATGAATGTTTGATGTCCTCATTCACGCGAGTGACCTGGCCGATAACTGCTAAATGAATGGAGGGAGGAGAGGTATCACATGCTTTTCTTCCTTTCCTTTTCTTTAAATGTATTGATTATATTGTATTGGTAGTCCTCCGCTCCTAATGCTGCTTAGTGGTAAGATAATCCAATATAGTGGGCGGAGGTAATTGACCCCATGTTGATAGAAGCGCTGGAAGGAAACCAAGCAAACCGGGGGTGGATGACTTCATGAGTGGCAGGTATGTCCTCATTTTAGCAAGAACACGAGTCCTCCGATGAGAAATGCAACGAATTTAAATATTTATATTAGATTTCGGTGTGCTGTAAACATTTCTGCGATGGATAAATCCATCTAAAACTGCCACTGTTGGTGAAATCTCCTCTCTGCGCCTGTGTTTTAGTGATCGGCAGCTGTTCTCTTGTTGAACAGCAGAGGGCAACGCCAACAATCTCTTCTCTGTTTCACCAAACTGGGCTACAGGTCATCGCCTTGATGCTTCACAAAGGCTGTAAGAAACAACACACAGCAGGCCTTTGGACTGAAGGTAAACACTGGCTGTGGAGATGTGATATACTGACATATGATTTTTTTTAAGGGTCCATTTTTTTTTTCCTGAGAGGAAATATTACATTAAATTATGTAAAAAAAAAAATACCTGTTTATTTGCACAGTTTACTTAAAAATATATTGTTAATATTATTATTACGTGGAACCGTTATGACACTTTAAATAAAGTCCACAAAAAGCTATAGCTCACCCCAGTATAATATAAATATAATATTTACTATAATATAATATTTACTGTTTACCGGCCTTCTCCATGTGTCCACTCTTTTTTTTGCCTACCCGGGGTGTGTAGCTATAGAAGTATATTACATTGTGCCACGCAGCGTGTCACGGGGCACAGTGGACGATCTCATTAGCAGCCCTGTAATTTCAGGCAGGCCTCAGTGCATTAGGGTACCCCTCCGCAGATTTTTAAACATCTTGATCGCACCTTGGATTTTTTTTTCTGATAATGTCTGATTTTCTTTTCTATTTGTGAAATCTGAATTCATGGGTTTTTATTAATGTACCTTAAAAAGCACGTGGATTTTTTTTTAACTGATAATTTCAAGTATTTGTAATATGGGGGTTTGTTTTGTTTTGCTGTGGGATCCTCACATTAAATAATAATATTAATAATAATAAAATTAAAATAAAGATCAGTTCTTAAATAAGAAGGTTGTATTTATTGTCAGGAAGATCGTGTCAGTTATTATTTATTTATTATTTTTCCTCTCTGACCTTCCTTAAGATGAATAGCTGTGGTTGGCAGAGGCGACCTCCGTGCCGGACAGCCCGCTGTTATCGCCACTGATCGCCAGGTGCATCAGCTGAAAGGCAACAGCAGCTTCCACTGGAGACAATACACAAAAGAGCGTGGAAACACAAGCACACACATACACACACTGCCTAAATTCATATGCATTTTTTTTCACAGTATAACAAATGTCCACTGAGTCCACGGAGGGCATTTTATGGCATCAAAAAGGCGCATTATTTAATCCACCACACAATGTAATAATACTTCAATTGTGTTATTATCTGTATTATTATTGTTGTTGTTGTTGTTGTTGTTGTTATTGCTATGATGGCAGGTCAGGCCTCAGTAAAATATCACTTTGGGCTGTCTGCTTTAGGTTGCCTGTCTGTGTGTTGTTATTGGACTGTGTGGAGCTCACTGTACTCTGCTCCAATAGCATCCCAATAGCAGTGAATGGAGGACTGAAAAAAAAAGTGTAGCCATGCATGCAGGAGTGGGAGGATCTACTCGCTTCAATCTCGATCTCAGACTTTTGCAGCGACAGGGGCACAACCAACCAACCGTCTCTGTTACTTCCAAAGAGTTACTGCCGGGACATCCTACACACACACACTCATACACACACGCACACACACACACACACACACACACTATACTATCTTTGGATTTGTTCTCAACTTTTACTTCTGCGCTTTTTTCCTTGGCGAGACTGTAATCCCGTGAAGACATTTTTCCAGACTTCTCCCGTCGGCTTAGGGGCGAGAAGATAAAGCTTCCTCGGTCCTCTTATCATAACAGGTGACTGTTCAGAGTTTCCACAGTTTCTTATTAGCTTTGTCTTCCTGCACGCTTCTCTGACACATCAGGGATTTACATAGCCAGCTTTTAACTGCCTTTACCTTTTAGCCATTGCGAGCACAAAGTCGAGTTTTTCCTCCTCACAGTTTAGTTTATTTTCCCCTTTCCTCCTCCGAGCTGCAGGCTGTATCCCACACGGATCTCAGACGGCTTCCTACACAGCATTTTTCCCCCTCCGATCAGCTCTGTGTGCCCGGGATTTTCGTGTCACGTCTGACCGTATTCTTATGGATATTGCAACAGGTCTGGTGTCACTGGAGCGCCTCTCCGCGGGTGAACAGTCCGAGACGTGCATCATGCTAGACGGCATTAAAATAGAAGATCACCCCCTGCGATCGGGACAAGCCACACTCGGAGTTATGCTCGGTGAGTCTTCTTTTTCTGTTGTGTAAATTACTCTGATCTGCGCGATCAAACGCTCGTGTTTGGATGTCATTATAATATTTCATTTTCTTTTCTCTGCATGCGCCCACACTGCTGTTTATTTCCTGATATCAGTTCAAAAGTATGCAAAATCGACGAAAGGTCGCACTCATGTGTGCAAATGGATATAATAACAGATCCAGATAAAGAGAAATAGCCCCTTTAAAAAATGTCTCTCTCTATATATATATTACTATTATTGTTGCAGTCTGGATGAAGGCGTAATTCGGGCCTTATATGAAGAGTAAATAAAACCAATTACAACCCTGTTTCCTTTATAATAATATCTTAAACCTCAGCGGATTTCTTCAAACAGACTGGCAAAATCTGAAGTGATTTGGGGGCTTTTATCAGTTATCACTTATTGCAGTCCTTGATTCAGGCCTATTTCCTTTCTTTCTGACGGGAAACTCTTGTGCCTTTTCCCAGGGACTGAATGTCATCACAGATCCGTGTGTGAAGGATGCCAGCGTCCCATCTCCGACCGCTTCTTGATGAGAGTCAACGATTCCTCGTGGCATGAAGAGTGTTTGCAGTGCACCGTGTGTCAACAGCCCCTCACCAACAGCTGTTACTTCAGAGAAAGGAAACTTTACTGCAAACACGACTACCAACAGTAAGCACAGTTTCCGGGAAGGACTTTTCGCTTTCCCTCCCTCTCTGTCTCACTTTCTCTCTCTCCCTCTCTCTCTTTGTGTGCATTTATTCGCATTGTTTTGGTGATTCAGTGATTTTTTCTAAATCTTTTTTTTTTTTCAAAAATGGGTACATTGGGTGGTTTCTGTTGACCTGACCCAGAGGCCTCCTGTGCGCAAAAGTGCACCTGAAACGTCATTCAGCTGTAAATGCTATTTGAATTTTTAAAAAGATGTAACCGTGGAAATAAGGAGACTTAAACTAACCTGTTGCCATCGCTTCTTCCTCCGTTGGTTTATATTTACTTCATGTAAAATGCTTATTTAAAAAAAAGAAAACGGAATTAAACCAAATGTCTTTTCGTTGTTAAGAAAAAAAAAATATATTTAATATTATAAGAGTGCTCAGACTCGCACTCGGGCTGCTCGCATTAGCGGTCATATATTATTGTCGTGTACTTGGCTTTATTATTGTCACACTGGCCCACGATATTTCCACGTTTGTCTCTTCGCAGCGGATGCATTTATAGCAAAAGGATGCGATCCCACTCAGGCCCGAGAATATGCAGGCGTGGTGCAGTCTTGATTTTTATTTTTTCCGCTTATTGTCATACATTTTCACTTTACCAGCAGCCGCCTCAGAGTTTTTCAAATATGGAAAACGTAGTCTGAGACTACGGCGCTCTTACGATTTATTTTCCGATCAGCTCCTTCATTCTTTAAATCACTTTTTTTCATTGATGTAATCAGATTTTACTAGTTAAAATAATAATATAATAATAATAATATCATTATTACAGTTTTAAGTTATTCCAACTATTCTTATTCGTATTTGGTTTATTAGAAATGCGTGGCAGGCATTTAACCATTTATTGAAAAGCAATATGCGCAAAATATTGCACAGAATTACACCAACCTGCAAAGCTGAGGTTATAATTAAAAGCTCGGCCATGTGCACAACCGCGATTCGAAGTGCATACATAAAATTATATATACATGCATGTATAAATCTGGTGTAATCATTAAATTTTCAGCTTTTCCAAATATCTAAATAATAATGATAATAATAATAATGATTACAATTAAAAAAAAAAGGGGCTGTAAGTTAAATTGCTATACTGGCGTGCATTACATCAGCAGACTGAGTGCAGATTGTTCATCTGGACATTTGCTTGAGAAAATAAAACACCATAATTATTATTACAGCTAATGCTCATATATATATATTTAAAACAAAGGAGAATTGTATTTATTTTTTGTGCAATTAGACTAGTACAGTCTTAAAACTACAAGGAATTGTCACATTGTTTTTTTAATTAAAAGCTACAATAGCTTTATGTTTTAATTCAGGCATAAGACAGAAATCATTTTAAAAAATGTAAGTTAAATTGCAGGTGTTAAATTTTTCCCATGCAAACACTTAAAGCAGGATGAGCATTGACTGTGAAGCAGAATAAATTAGTGAATGGAATCAGTAAATTATAACAAACCAGCAGAGATGGCAGATATAGGGAAGCAAATACTGAGCTTAAATAACAAAAGTATTACAATAGTGAGGGTTGCTGTTTGGCCTATGAGGACCCTGGGGTGGCCTGTGTTTCTCATCGCATGAGCGCTTTTCATGCTTGTCACTAAATTTTCAGCTTTTTGTGTCCGGCCTTTTTAACAATTCTACTTCGATTACCGGGACATTATGGCTCTCTGTTAGATACCGTGCAAGCAACAAAGAGTTACATCTATTGCCATGCGTGCCATTCATCCAGCTCTGTGACAGGAGTGTAGTCGGCTGATAACAATGGAAAATTCATAGCAGTAACTAGGGGATACCAGAGTCACGGCGTCACGGCTCAGAGGTGCCTGGAAGTTGAGACAGTCCGGCAGGGAGCGAGAGGGAGAGAGAGAGGGAGAAGGGATCTCTTTCTCATGCCTGCTTCAGCGTTGTCCATTTGGAGAATTTCTGAAATGAATTCGGTGTGTGTAAAAAGAAGAGATAAAGACAGACGTGCCAAGACTGGCAGGCTCTGTCTGCCTGCCTGATAGTGTCTACTGCCTGGCGTTTAGTTTCTGATATGCTCTTGAGGAACCATATTTGGAATATAGCTGACCATTTCCCTCTTTTTCCCTCTCTGCCTGGTGAGCTTGTGTGGCAAAGCTGATCACTGCAGCCAAACGCAACAACCTGCTGGGCGCCGTCCTGCTCTCACACGCTATTATTCATCACGTCTTTTATTCTTCTCCCACCTCCTTTTTTGTTTGTTTGTTTGTTTGTTTTAACTCCTCCCAGGTTTGGTTTTGGTCTTTGACACCGACACAAGTATAGTCCCTGCCTTTTTTTTCTTTTTCTTTTTTTAACGTTGTTTATTCCATTTGCATTGATGGGATACTTAAAGATGTAATTGGCACCTTTTTGACTTTTATGACATCCATTTAAGATGCATTTCTCAGCCCACAAACTGCTTTGGGCTGCGAAGAGAGCTCCTAGCCATACAGAGGTCTACGTGCCTAATAACATTCCTACAGCAACTGATTCATGCCCCGTAATCAGCTCTCACTAGCTATAATAAATCAAGGAATTGGCAAGCAGTCTTTTTTCACACCTTTGGAACAGGTTTAAGTGCAGACAGGGGAAAACAATTGTGTACTGTATTATTAAAACTCCCACCAACCCAGTTCAACACAACCTGCTCCATATAGTGCAATTATATAGTAACAAGATTGGATTTTATTAGTCTTTTTCCCATATGTTGGCTTTGAGAGTGTATGCACGAGTGTGTGTAACTGACCTGTGCTCGCCATTATCTGTTTTGTTATTTATTTTGAATGAGGAATATTTTTGATGGTATTAAGAGTCCTAAAGAGGCCGTCGCCATGTGAGGTAAAATGAAAAATTAAATGTAATGTATTTACGGTAAGAATATTTTGAGGGCAAAGAGCTGTCAGTTGGACGAGAGGTGTAGTCGTGGAGGAGCAACAAGCTCAAACGAGACACGCGGTATGTGAAAGGTAGTGTGGAATCGGGCCAATCCAACCGAGTTTGTTGTGCCCTGGTGTTCGAAGGTCAATTATACATCATTAGAAAGAGAGAGATCTTTTCCCCAAGGGGGGGGGGGGCTTTTCTTCTAGCCGAGCAGATGCTTTGAAAGCAGCCGTGTAATAAGGCTTATCATTTGAACCCAAGTGTTGGACAACACCCCTGTAATGGACTGTCTTGTTAGAAACTGCCATAGGCTCCATCTACAAAACATAACATTAACTAACTATATTATACACCGCGCCGCCTACTTTTGGGTGCCACTGATGCATAAAAAACCTCTCATTTCATAGTGGATTTTTTTTCCTCATGCTCTATAAACTTTTATTGTCTAGCAACATGTTATTTTAAAATGTTCCATTTGTAAGCCATCCAAATACATCAGCCTGCATATTTCTTTTTTTGAAATCTTTTACCTCACGTGCTGGAGGCTAAATTTAATTCAGGTCACGGTAGTATGAGCAGTAGAAAAACACAGCGGTGATGAAGCCATAAAAGAAGAGCTCCCAAAACTGGTCTTACCTCCCATGTATTCCAGGACGATCCCCCGGTGTGCTGAGAGGTGCTTTTTAGAACAGTTTGGAGCGCCCTCCTGTGAAATTGTTGTTTTTTAATTAGCCGTGCTTGGGACGCAGCAGCGGCAGCAGTGTGTGTGTGTGTGTGCCGGATAGATGCTGACGGCTGGGTTTCTGTGTTAGCTCACCCATTTTGTGTGCGTGTGTGTGTTTTACACTCACAACGACACTCCCGTGTGGCCTGGCACTTGTGAACACTCACTATATGGATAGCAAACATTTAAAAAATAAAGAAATAAAAATAATTTTTTTAAAAAGCCACCGGGATGTGTTTTGTGCTGCCAGCGCAGCTGGGTAGTTTTGCAGTTAAAGACTGTCCTTGTGTATTTTAAAGTGCTTCACAGGCAGCTCTGCAGGCAGATGCGAGTGTGTATTACTGTTTTTTGTGTGTGGAAGGCTTCCTTAACTTTTTATTCCTTAATTCTGCCTAAAAAGGATAAAAATGTGTCTTTAGCTGCTGCTCTTGGGTAAATAAGAGAGGACCTCTACGGAGAGACAATTCTAATGTTAGAAACACAAAACTGGATAATATTGCTTCAGCTTGCTGGGATTTTTTAGTGCTCGGCAAGGAGCTAGCTGAAGCTGGCCCGTTCCTCTGTAAGGAAGTATTGGGTTTTATGTCAACATGGCTCGGCCTGTCCCAGCAGCATACTAGGATGCATCATCTGTCATCTCATGGTTTACTAACTGTGCACCCCACCCCGCCCCCGAAACACATTTAGACCATTAAAAAGACCTGTTAAAGTGTGTTTATTTGCATCACTACCAGCATCTGTGGGTTTTTTCTTCTTCTTTTGTTGTCCTTTCTAGTTCCCATAAAGTGTGATATTTAATTTTTCCGTGAGCTCTACATGTTAAAAAAAAAGGTGTTGTACGTTTTTAAGTTACATCCATAAAGAGTTCACTGGTTTTGTCTGCCAGTGGCTTTCTGACATTATCAGTAAATATCAAGTTCAAGTATTTTGTTATCAAATCGAGTGATGTCATTGATCTTCCTGTTTCTAAAGGCATTTCCCCCCAGTGTTTTAGTCCTCCCTGGGTGCAGGGGATGAGTAGTGTGTGTGTATGTGTGTGTGTGTGTGTAGCAACAGTTGGAGCACAAAGCACTTTGCAGGACGCTATGGGAAGCCACAGAGGCTCAGCCACGGTAATGCCCATCACCACTTTAGAGGCCAGACTGGTGGCAAGGGATGTGGAAAGAGGTCTCTGTGGCTTTGTGTGGGGGGGCTGTTGTGCAGGGGAGGAGAAGGATCTGCAGAGGGATCTGCCTGGTGTGCTCACATTACACTGGATGATAGCAGAGGGGTGCAGAGGAACTCAGGCGTGCAATTTGTTGGTAGCCACAATTTAACCTCATCTCCTAAAGCCAGCAGTT